AACTAGCCACTGCAGCACAATAGACATAGGGCGAGTAACCCTGACAATTTTAAATTTTAAAATTTGAGAAAAATTTAGAGAATTTTAAAATTAGAACTAAAGATTTGATAAGTGCTAACGTGTGTAACAAAAATAATCTACAAACCAGACAGATATCAACGAAGTAGATGTTGATAATAACAATGAAAGGAACAATGTGTTTTTAAATGTTAAATTTTAAAGTAAGTGCAGTGCAACGTGAGTGTATACACCTGATGATGGCCGTTTGAGGCCGAAACATGTAGTGTAAAGGAGAGCAAGCTCAAGGACATATAATATATTGTTTGCACTTGGGACGGAGTTCATATCATTTATCATACTGTTTATACTTCTTTAGAATGGGTCATAGGATAATCAACTTGCATGCATAGAACTTGGGATTTATTACTTCCTAAATTTGGGTGTATGAACTGAGTGTCATTATTTAGATGTAAACCTCTAAGAAATCTGGTTTTATTTAAGGAGTTATTTCACATATTATCCCCATAAAATATACTAGGCACCTTCACATCCTACATTTTCAGTTAATTCTGACTTGTATTATATTAGTTGTCAAAATAAGCCCCTCACCTTTCAATTCCATATACTGTTTGGTAGATTTAGACAAAATGTTATTCCTTGCAGCTTCTCTTTTATGCATGATGCTTACCCAAACAGCACAAAATTTATTTTCTTTATCTTCTTCTCAAAGTACTCTGAAATTTTGATATTTTAAAGCCTATTTGTGGATAGCTTACTTTTGGTTTATGCTTTCAGTTTACCTATATTTGCAACAGACTGTGTTTCACTGTTTTGGGTACAAAAATATAACATTAAAATTGTTGAGATTTTAATCCAGAAAATAAAGTGTCCTAATTTTACAGTAGAGTCATAGCCAGGGATGAGAAAATACTGCTGTCTGCTCACCTGAGGTGAGATTATTTCACAAACTAGAAAGCGGTAATTCACAATTTTAATGGGTCATATGCGTTATTTTTCTGTAACTTGTGAGATACAAAATCAGGGCTGGAAATGGGCGTAGATGCTGTTTATTTAGTTCCAGAGCATATTTTTTAACACAGTTATTTCGAAGTCTCTTAGGATGCTACTACCATTCCAACAATAATACATGTAAAAATGACTATGCAAACCTGCATTGTAATAATTTCCTTTGTAACATATGTTGGTTATGCCCCAAGCACTTCTACTGATCTGGTGTGTTTGTCTCTCTGAAGAGCTACTTCCATCCCTGCACAAAATACATTTGGTAACATGGTGGAAATTTATACTTCATTTCATAAGCTCACCAGAAAAACAATTTTATAATTTCTTGAAAGAATAAGCACTTTTTTTGGATACTTCATTTCTGTCATCTATTTCTGTATGAATTCCATTTCTGTACTTTCAAATTACTATTGTGAAAACTTTTTATTGTGTTAGCTTCACACATGTTGAAATGTGAATGGGAAACTCTTAAACACAATCCTCATCAAAAATACAATATGATAGGAAGTCATAATGTTTTAACCTTTAAACGCCGGACTTCTGAAATGGTGGTAAGCTTGAGCTGGCCGGAGTTTACTTAAATGCCCGCTGCTGGTGCGCGTTTAAATGTCCGTTCCTGTTAGGGCACTTAAACAATTTTAAGCATTGTTTAGAAATGCTGTATCTAACTCAATTTTTATGATAAATGGATGGAATTAATATTGTTTGTGTCAGCAAAGAACACAGTGTCGCATATTATAACGGAAGATTTAAAAATTTTTATACAAAGAGTTATACTCTATTTAAATTTTTTTTCTTCTAATTTTGATGCATACTGCAAAAAGTTGTTCTGCATTATAAATTCATTTCTGTTTGTAATGCGTGACAAATTGTAGCAGTCCCTGGTGTCATAAAACAGATGGAAGCAATAAAATCATTTGGTCTTCTGCTAGCACTGCTTACACTCACTCTTTGGATTTTCGAATCTTTTGACTAAAGGACAGAAGAATGAAAGAATGGCTATTCAAGAGAAAGCTAGAGGGGTCCCTTCTTCAGTGCTCAGACCTTCTGTCATAGCTGTAAGACATTATTGCCCTTTCTAGGGTCATGAACAGACAGTTGCATCATGGCTGAGATACAGAGTGTGATCTGTTTTCTGTGCATTCAGAGTGAAATCGAATATTGCAGTTTCATTTCAGCCTATATATATACTGTCATGTGTCGGGTAGGTCACGCAACAAATAACTTCATGCCATATTGGATATAGCGAATTTATTGTACACTCACTCTTACACTCACACAATTCACAATTACAATTATCACCATCGGCAGTATCACAATTACATCCGCTGCTCTAAGCAACTGCTAGACTTCTGCTGCACTCGGCAACTTCACGATCCGCACTATGCCACTCCTGATCACACACTCTCTCGTCACATACTGCTCAGCCAGCTTTTTATACTGTTCCCTGTTGCATGTGTCAACAGCGGTGTCCTGTGTTATGTCACCGTGGGAGGGGGCGGAATGTTGACTGGCCTGTTACTGTAGCAGCGGCAGCGCTCTGAAGCTGTTACGTTACCACTGGCGGGGAGTGTCCTGCATAGCGCAGTTACGTCACTATATATATATACAGGGGGCATGCGGTAGCATAGTTGGTTGAGGCACTATGCTATAAGTCGGAAGCTCGCAGGTTCAAGTCCCGATGTCATTGGATTTTTTTCAATTGACTCAATCCTTCTGGCCACACTATGGCCCTGGGGTTCACTCAGCCTCTAACATAAATGAGTACCAGGAATTAATTAAATAATTTTCCTGGGGAGTAAAGCGCGGCCAGCGTGTAAGGCTGACAACCTTACCGCCATCTTTGAGCTGATTGTCTAGATAATGTGGGACCCTCAACGTCCCACAACCCTATGGCCCTTCACGGCCTGTTACAGGGATAGCTTTACTTTTTATATATATATACATCAAGCAGATAAGAACAAAAAAGGTATGTACATAAAATTTTACTATAAATTTTTAACACATTAATCTGCAGAATGTGCACTAAAAGTACTAGTTCGTGGATGAGTTTGGGCATAACTCATATATATATTCTTTTTTGCTGTTGTTCACTTGGGTATCATTTTACGTGTAATTCTTCTATTATGGTTTTATTCAAGTCTGTCTGGTAATTACTACATATAATAATAAATATTTAGGACTGTGAATGCACTTCTACTAGTGTTCATTTCAAATTGATACCTCTTCATTAAATTTAATTTATGTCTACGTGTAGTACACATTTACATTCGTTTACTATAATTTTTGTACACGTGTCATCTAAGGTGCCGTACTGCTAATCACTTCCTTTAAAGTAGTGAAAAATTCATTTTCACATTATCATAGACCTTACTGCTCTACATTTTGTACATGTATTTTTATGTCCTTTGCTGTAGCTGTACTTAATTCTCAAATACCAGGGATGTTCCGCTTTCAACAGACAACTTAAACAATCACTGTACGAGTGTATGCTAACAATTTGTATGGACCGTGTGCTCTGTACTTAATGCGCTTACATCTCTCAGGTCACATGGTGGTGTAAATGAGCATGTCATTAGACAATTACTAGATTCTAGTGTCAACACACAATGGAAACCAAAATCAACATTATGAGACCTCAATGAACACACAGAATTTTTCTTTCATAAGGCTGCCTACTCAGGGTATGACATATGCTCAAAGATGCTGTAGATAAACAGTATTTCAATCCATAAGATTGTGCCATATAAACAAAGAAAACTTAATGAAAATTGCAATTTTATGAATATCTTTTATATAAAGTATCTATATGATTGTCATGAAGTTCATCTTTACAGGACCTACAGAAGGTCCTAACATACATAACACATAATAACTAAATTAATCAATTTATGTACTAGTACATCAAATGGGTCAATTGGCCAATACAAAAAAGAACTTTCAGAAAATCAGGGTCACATAAAACATAATATTTCAATGCTTAGTGGAATAATTCTTAACAGATATATCAAAAATTAAGGACTACCAATCAATACTTTCCAAAGTAACATAATGTATACTAACAAAAAATACAATCTTGAAAATAAGGAAGAACCATAGCCTTATGAATGCCAAGAACTGAAGAAACTGATACTTGTACTGTATGGAATGAAGGCTATCCTACAATTGTTGATATGGCATTGACAGACTGTGATGATAATTTTATGTTTCAGAACTTTTTAGTGGGGCTGGAATAATAAAGAGCTTCATGTTATATCGAAGACTACATACATATTTTTGTTCATTATTTCAAGGCATGCCAGGGATGGGGTTGTGTTGTCCTCAAACTTAAAGAGTGTGTGTGTGTGTGTGTTTTACCTTTTTGCACATTCTTCAGTTTTAGCCATAAGGAACTTCCCAAGTCCCTTTCCTCTGTGTTCAGGATGAACAACAACTGAAATGAAAAACACATCCTCTTAACACTAATAGCTATGCTATAATTCTGATAGCAGTAGACAATTATTCTATACCTCTTATTACAGATCACAGTTGTTACTATTTCACAGTTTCTTAAATTCTTGATTTCACTGATAGGAATTACTACTATAGATGACTATATACATCTCATTCTAAGAATTCTGTTATACAGTGCAGTAGAAAAGTCTGAATTTGAATTACTGCTGTTAGTTTCTCAGTATGATGAACCTGAGCTCTGCAGATATGCAGTATATGTAAGTACAAATATACCTGTGTGATATGAACTTAATGAAATCCAAGAAATTCATGTTTTTAATATGTACACATCTCAGATTGTAACAGAGATCGGAAATGTATTAGAATTGATATAATAAACCTATGCTCCTTAACAAAAAGATATAATTTGGGACAGTCGGACAAAATATAATAAAAAAGAAATGAAACAAACATTACTATGTCAACATCTGATTTTATTTGTTGTTGGTGGTATCATTGCATGTTTCAACCCTTTTCTTGGATCATCTTCAAATGCACATGAATATTATTTAGCTTCTGAATTGCATCATTAATCAATGTTCACAAAGAGAAAGCTGAAATGATGCATTCCAGGAAAATGATATGGAAAAAATGGGATTCCTTTTACAGCATCTTTAACTATTATTTTAATTTTGCTTGTCCAAAAGTTAGAAGAAACACTGTTAAGTCTCTGAACATTCCTTAGATGAATAACGATGTTATCCAATCTCTATACGCAAAGTAAAATTCAGGAAGTATAAAGCATATAAAAAGGAATACAAGGTTCTAATTAAAACTGTGAAAACAAAATACCTAAAGCATATTATAACTAGCTCAAACAGCACTCCTGAAGTACTGTGTAAATTAGTACACAGGCTCTCCAAATAATACAATGACTTATATAATATACACCTACAAGTGGAAAATGAAACATTCTCAAGTCCAAGTAGAACATGTAACACGTTTAACATTACCTTCTTAACACTTTGCGGACCAGTGGCATATTTTTATGCCCAGCACTTTTAAACGTGGCAGACTGGTGGCATATTATTATGACTTTAGGACATGTTATGTTCAAACACACTATACCTTGTACTGGTGCCAGGCAGACGCATGACTGGTGCATGATAGACCTCTTGAATGTTTGCTTTGTAGTCAGTAACATGACCCCGCTGTTTATGACCCAACTGTTTTCCTTTCCCACTCCAAAAGAAAATGCCTTTGTTCATCTTCCAGCTGCATGCAACAGGCAGGACGTTACTAGTGCAACATGGATCAAGGTCAAAAGAGGTTGAGGTCCAAGGGTTTTCCCGGAGAACAAGAAATATCTGACTTGCTCTCCGATGAGCTATCTGATGTCCCTTGTGAGTCTGCTAGTGATAGCGACTCACAATCTGATAGTGAGTGTGGCAGGTGCGAACAAAAAATTGTGGCCACAGACAGTGAAAGTGAAAGTGACAGTAGCTCCGACGAAAGTGCGGGCAGCAACATTGCGGGGACAGCCACATGGGGAAAAGTAGACAGAACGCCTGCTTAGGGAGAATTTACTGGAAATCCAGGGTTGAAGCAAATTCCATCGGACCCAACGCAAGTGTCTGAAGTAGCAGAACTGTTTTTTGGAGATAGTTTCTTTGACATGTTATGTCAGGAAACTAACAGATACTACCTCCAACATCGTGAAGAGTATGACAGAAGTTATAAGGTGTTGAAGTGGGTGGATGTCACTTCGGCAGAAATGAAAATTTTTTTGCAATAATCCTTCTAATGGGGCATACAAGGAGGGATAATTGCATTTGCATTTGCAAGTTCTGTGTAATGCCACTTCACAAAGGGGAATATTTCCAGAAATATCACACTCTCAAGCACTTCTAGGAGCATTGGTAAGTGTTCTCCAAAAATTTTAGTTTATAAAATTAATTAGGAGATTTTATATTAATTTTTAAAGTGGACAGTGCACAAGTTAGGGTAGTAGGTTTAAAAATGCCGGTCCCTGGGGTGATTTAAATATTTAAATTGCCTGTCCACAAAGTGTTAAAAACCATAAATAAAAACTCTTTACTTCACAAAAGTATATTCACAAACCAGTAATAATAAAATAAGCAAGAAAGTTTTTTTTTTTCCTATTAGAAATAACAGAGACTGAAACAACTGAAGTAGTCCACAGCTTGAAGAGTAAACAATCGGCAGGACTTGATGACATCTCACCTTAATTATTAAAAAAAACATGCCTTACATGTTGAAGCCACTTTTAGAATTGTCAACGCATCAATCAGAGATGAAATTTTCCCATCCACATTAAAAAATCAGTAGTTAAACCAATTCATTAAAAATGGACAGAAGAAGGTGCAAACAATTATCATCCAATTACTCTTGTCCCAGTTCTTTCAAAGTTTCTGGAAAAAGTTGTTATTTTTGTCACTTCCATGTGGATCGAATGATAAGTAAGAATCAGTGTTCAGTCTAACCCTGCTTTATTAAGCCTGAACACTGATTCTTACCTATCATTCGATCCATGTGGAAGTGACAAAAATAACAGGTTATGGGCCCAGGACTGTATTATTGATAAGTATAAATAGTAAAAAGTGAAAGTGTTATTTAAAAGTGATCCCTTGGACTGACACTACCACCAAGACAAAGAGACATCATCAAGTTTCATCATGGCCACTTGAAAGCCCTTCGCGAATATTTATAAGTTCAAAGGATGCGAAAATTATAGAGAATGGTACTTTGATATTCAAAATGTTCTAGTGATTGAAACTGTGTGGGCAGCAGTCAGTGGATATGCTGCAGGAGATACAACTCCCGCATCCCTCAAGAAACAAAGGGACGAGAAAGCCAGAGCCATCATTTGTCCGACATTGGAGCCCCAAGTTAAATCTTACATTGTCCAGACAACTACAGCAAAGGAAGCCTGGGATGTGTCGGAAAGAACATTGAAAGATCAGGGTGTCAATAGTTGGATAAGCATTTTAACTGATTTGTGCTCTTTGAAACTTGAGGACTATAGAAGTATGTAGCAGTATGTTAATGCCTTCATGTCAATAAATCTTAGATTAGACTCAATGAGCAAGAAAACAGAAGATGAGCTATTGGCCACTTTAATGTTAAAGGGTTTAACTAAAGAGTATTATCGCATGCGTATGGCACTTGAAAATTCCAACATGACTTTGACTAGTGAGCTCATTAAATCTAAGCTATTGCAAGGAACAGAATTTGGTAAAAATGCAAATTCAGATTCAGCCTTTCTGTCCAGAGATAAGTTTAAACATAAACCACCAAAATGTCAAATTGGTGGTAAGCTAGGCCATATAAACAAAAACTGCTGGTTTAAAGATAAAGATAAGGCAAACAATAAAAATCACAACAATCAACACAACCAAAAATTTAAGGGCAATCAGTCTTCTAAATCAGTCAATAGTACTGATTAAAATAAAGAAGGATCCGATCAAAGGTATAATGAAAATAAATGGAAAAATAAGACCAGTAAAAAATCCATGTATGTGGTATCTGCCTATCATGTTAAAATTAAGGATAATACTTGGGTAATAGACTCTGGTGCTTCACACCATATGACCAGAAATAAGACTGTTTTGCAAAATTATAAAACACATGATTCTAAGGAACATGAGATAAATCATGCTGATGATAACGTGTTAACTAGTGCAGGTTTTGGTGATGTAAAACTTGTGAATGACAATTTTAGCCATATCTCAGATGTACTGCATGTACCAAAATTGTCTACAAATTTGTTATCTGTGAACTCAATTGTAAACAAGTGTATGATTGTGTTCCTAAAGAACACAAGGTTTTGGAAACTTGATATGTTTCCAACCTCAGGTGAAAGAGTAGGAGGCATTTAGCTCTTTATAATGGACCTAACGGTGTAGATGCCTCTTATCATTTCACCTGAGGATGGAAACAGATGCAGTTTCTGAAGCACTGTGTTCTTTAGCATACTGGACAATGGTCCAAGTCCAAACACCTAGTAATCCAAAGTGCTATACACCACCACCAGTATCCTTTAAAATCTTAAATCTTTCACTACATGATATAGAATGTAATCTCCAAAACTATGGTGAAAGTTACTTGAACCTGAGTGAATTACACATCCCAAAGGCAGACCAGGTATTGGTGACAATTTGCTGTGGCCTAAGACTTCAGAGGACTGGACCAGGACAAGGCATGTTGGTAAACTGTCACAGGACATCATCAAACTTCTTAGTCTGAAAAGCAGTAATTATTTGTTTTAAATACTTTATCATAAGATTACAAAGCAGTGTAAAATCACTTCAGTAAATCCCTTCATGGAATGAAATAGAACTTTGAATCCTTAAATACATTTTAATAAAAATTAAAAATTTGATTCATACATCACAGAGAATACACTGTCTTCATCACAAATGACAATTCATGTTCTTTAGGGAAATAACCACTGTTCATTCTCATAATCATATGAAACACATAAATACACAAATACAATAGGGAAATAAATGTCCTAAAACTGTACCTCTTCTTTTAACACAAAGAACTAGTGAGAGTAATTTACATAACCCCCACCCCTTCTCCTATTTTGAGTGTCTAAAAATAGCAAAATATAAGGAGTCTTTTCACATTCATAGCTTCTATGAATTATACAGAGATATTCATTAATGACCAAGGAACCAAGAATTAAATGTTATTAATACTGTACAATCCTTAGGAGTATCATTAAAATCCACAATACTTATCACCAGTTCACCAATTATGTGACCATATATGGCAGTTTAACGGCTAGCACTCTTTATCTTCATATTCAGCAGGCCCAGGATCAAACTTAGGGCCAGCTACTTCATATTTTGAGAAAATCTGTTGCAGAGTTCTGTCCCACAAGGTAATGAATGCCTTTCCAATTAGGCAATCCATTCCTATTCATTATTTACTAATCATCCAATCATTCCACACTATAGAATATACATACTTTAAGAACACATTGTGTACAGACCGATGGTACATAATATGTGCACTTGAAAGCGCAGGTAAATATGACAACAAAGAATATGTTTTAATTATTTCGAAACTAGTTGGACCTCCCGAGCAAATTTATCAGCCGGCAGGAAGACGTGATCAGGGACGACCAAACTACAAATAAATGGCTTGATATTTGAGGACGGTACGGATTACAAAGTCCATCTGTTGCAGACGATGATGATGATTATGATTTCGAAACTACCTTCGCACAATACACAGGGAAAGAAGTAAATATAACATTCAGTGCGAATACCTCACAGTTTTACTCCTAGGCCATTCCATGTTGAGTATATCGCAACACTGCTCCAATAATTGCGGATGATGGTGAATTTCAACGACTTCCAATCTTTCAGATCCACTGAAATGCCCTTCGCACATCATAAAATTACTCAGCGCTTCTTCTAAAAAATTACGAACAGAAACTTACACTAATGAACCTACTGCACTTGCACCACCACTACCCCCAACAAGCACCTTTCAGCACTAACAAACTAACTCTTTGCCCTCTTTGCACTCCTTGTCCGCTCTTATCTATATCCGCATACAAAAATTAGCACTACCTATCGCGCCTATCGTTACCGATTGCCGCCCATGCTCCATCGCGACTCTAACCACTGATCGCATCGGATTGAACCGATCGGACACTGCCATCGGAAAATAACCATCATTGATCATCATTGATAGATTGGGTCACGATAAGGGCAACGGCGACGGTCCCACAACTAACTTAAGACGACGGCACACCAAGGAAACTGGCAATTGCAGCGCAACCGAAAAATCATAGCAAGATCCGCGATGAAACTGCTCGCAGGCAGCACGGAACACAGTCGCTCAACATCCTTGTACGCGTTTACGACATAGCAATCCGTGCTAGCCGTTGTGTATTGAT